TCCTTGCTCCCCACACCGCCCCCACTCCGACGCACCCCCGCACCCCACCAACCCCACCTGGGCCCGGGACGCTTTCGCCAACCTTCCCCACCCACCACTCCACCTCTCCCCAGCACCCTGCCCCCTGCCATCCCCTGCCCATCAGGCACAGCGTCCACAGCCCCCCTCAACCGAAGAATCAAGCACCCACACTCACTTGAGCTGCTCCAGGGCGTAGGCCGGCTCCAGCTCCATCCTCACGTTGCGGGGGTTGGGCTTGATGCAGCGCACGTAGTGCGGCTGCAGCTGAGACAGCTTCGCCGCCAGCTCCGCCAGCTGGCGCTTGAACTGGCTGCCCACCTGCCAGCGGGAAGCGGTTTGGTGCGCGGATGAGGAGAGGAGGGTCTGTGGTTGGGGCCAGCAGTGCTGGGGGACAACCAGAAACCGGCATGATTGACCAGGGTTGACCAGGGTCGACCAGGGTTGACCAGGGTTGACCGCGTCTTTGCCGCGTCGCCTCTGCTCGACCCACAGTACAGCACAGCGTCCCGCCGTCCCTCACCGACACGAATTGGAAGCCCTTGAGGTTGCCGCCCGGCCCCTTGCCGGAGCCGCCGCCGCTCCTCCCCGCCCCCGCCCGCGCGCCGCCCCCGCCCGCCGCCTGCTCTGCGCCGCCGCCGCTGCCGCCCCCGTCGCCGTCGCCGCCGGCGGCTGCGAAGAGCGCGCGCACGACGGGCAGCGAGGAGGCGGCCATGAGGGCCTGGTGCTCTGAGATCACGAAATCCCTGTTCTTCTCAAGCATGTGATCTGTCTGGTAGGTCACCGGGCCTGGTGGGGCGCAGAGAGGGAGGAGCAGCGCGAGTCGGGTGCAGGATTGGGCTCGTGCCAGGCCGGCAACGCGTGCAGCTCGATGCTTTCCTCGGTTGCTGTGGTGTGAGGTATAGGGCTGAGCTGCGCTTTAGCAGGGATTCGAGCCCGGGAAGAGGGGGGCCGAGCTGGCTGCAAGCGCTGCTGCTAGAGCCGAGCAGGTGAGTCCACTACGCGGAACCCGGTTGCTGGTAGCACCAGGGAGCAGCCTGCCTCCCAGGTTTGATTAGGTCTGATACCCCCCCCCCCCGGGGGGTCTTTCAAGTGGGCTAGGGGCCAGGCGTACCGGCGTAGTGCTGGACGGTGAAGGCGGTGGCGCTGCGCTTGGCGCGCGAGAAGCGCTGGGACGCCGCCGGCACCGCGCCACCCAGCAGCTTCTCCGCCAGGTCCTTGGTGGTGGCTGTGGGGAACCTGCCGGGCAGGTGCGGCGAGGCGCCGAGGCAGAGAGAGTCGGAGAGCTTAGGGCCGCCGTCTTGACAATGCCGTCAGGGGGTGTGATCTTGTGGGGTAAGGCGCGCCAGGCCACGAGGCGAGCACGGAAGCAGGGCCGGCTGCCCGGCAAGGCCAGGCGCGCACACCACACCCCTTGCCAAGCCCAGATCGCGTCGGATCCAACCAGATCAGATCATCACCTGCAGGCCTCGTCTATGAGGTCCATGAGCCCCATCCTGCCCTCAATCAGGTCCAGCACATCCTTTGAGGGGTGATGGGCAATGAGCGAGGGTGGGGTGTCAAGGTGGTGCGGCGCTCGATGACCACGCTCCCCTCACCCCGTCCACAGCCACCTTGTGGCCGCCGTCATGAGGAAGCTGCAGAGCGCCCCCCTCGAGCCTCTCCCCCCCGGGCCTCCCGCCCACACCCCTGCACCCCCGGCCCCCCCTCCCCACCTGGTTGTCCACAAAGTCGATGTAGGACCAATTGATGCCCTCGCGCTCATACTCGGCCTGCGGTTGGTTCCAAGTTTAGGGATCCTTTGGGTTAGGGGATGGGGTACCTCAAGGCAGGACACGCAAATGTCCACGTGGAGGAGAAACATCAGAACGAGACTGCGTGGAGAAAGGGAGTGAGGTGCTCTTGCTGGCCGCGCAACCGACAAAGCCAGGGGTGGGGGCGGGTTCTGTTGGCAGCCCACGTGCAGACGCAGACGCTCGCACGCTCGCATACCCACACCCACGCGACACTCAAGACACGTTCACCCGCCGGCCCACCCGCCGGCCGACAAACGCGGCGCACGCTCACGCGACACACCCTGATCACGGACCAGCACCACCCCCGCCGCGGCGGGCCCCACCTGCTCCTGCTTGAACACGTGGTGGTTGAAGTGCTGCTGCAGCTTCTCGTTGGCCAGGTTGATGCAGAACTGCTCCAGGTCGTTGAAGGCAAACGACTCGAAGCCGTAAATGTCCAGCAGGCCGATAGTGGAGGCCCGCTTCTGCGGGCGGGCGGTGCATGGG